ATAATTAATTTTAATAATTTATAAACGATATGGAAATAAAAATTCAGAACACTGACATTGCAGATGATAATGACTCAATTATAATTGCATTAACGTCGTAGTTTCCGTCAAAGAAAAAATAATCTACTGATGAAAACTCATTCGCAAGTAAATTTTGTGGAATCGATATTTTTATCGCAAGGATTTCGGGAACTATATATTTACATGGCATACAATGTATTTTCATGTTAACGTAATGTCGACCTTCGTTGTAGACAGAGTCGAATCTGTTTATTTGACTTGTATTTGAAACGTGGTGTTAACACATCGCGTGTCATTAAAGTGTTTTCATGAAATCTAGGGATCACCTCCAAGTACGGGAGGCGCGCTTTCGGATTTCTCTAGAATCTCTTGGTCGACTGCCAAGGATTGTTAAATTGCAATACGACGCTTCGTTGTATATATATGCATTATAATTTCTAGACATATTAATACACATACCTATACTTAAATATTGCAGTCAATGCTTTGCAACATCGGTCCGGAATAGTTTACTCCGCCTATCATTTACAAGTACTCTGCGATCCTCACGTAATTGTGACAGAAACTTTCTTCTCACGAGCAAAACTTACCTTGTGTCAAATTAATTTTTTGATATTTCCAAATTAACTTTTTAGTAAAGGATAAAGGATAAAGGAAGTTTAATTGATTCCTCTCAGGGTTACACTATTTTTCAACACTCCACTTCTATATTCACGATCCATTTGTATCCACGATCTATTCGGAGGCCCGATTCAGTTCGCTTTTCAATCGATAAACTCGACTTGAAAGAGACCGGCCCGGAAAAATCCGACGGTGTGGATTCGAACTCGGGACCTCTCACTCGCAGCCCTCGCACTCAGGCCGCGAGACCACTGGGCCGGTAATTAACTTTTTAGTATATATAGCGTAACGATTAATTTTAGTACCGTCGTGAAGTACGATTTGAATTAATTTCACTTACTAAAAAGTAAGTGAAAGTAAGAGCTAAAAAGCTCTGTAATCTGCACGCTGCAAAAAATATCATTTTTTTGTTTTTGACAGTGATAGCTTATTTATTTTAAGTAGTTTTTTCTTTCTCACAATTATCTTTTGTTCTTTATCTTTATTTTTTTTGTTTCCGCTAGTATAAAATTAAATCAAGACATCTTTAGTTTAATTATCGCGACATATTTTTTTGCAATTAAACAAGACTAAATAAACTTTTCTTTTTTTGTGAAAAAAAAAAACAAATAAAAGTAGAAATTTTATTTTTGTGAAAAATCAATCTGGTCACCCAAAACTTATGTTTTGTATATTTTTGCTTTCGTGCGAGTTAGAAGAAGTATTTCAGCAAGTTTGCAAATTGACTAATAATTATTTATCATGAAGAACAAAAAACAAAAATGTATTGTTCATTTTTTTGCAAGTATATATGTATATTATTTCTCTCAAGGAAGAATAAAGATCTTTCAAAACTTGTAAATAACTTTACTTATTCCATACAATTACAACATAGTAATTTTAAAATCAGATTTAAGGCAACCGTGCACAAGTTTTCAAAGACAAATTAAAATAAATTGTTATAAAGATTAATGCGTAACACTGAATTGCGACTAAAAAACGGGTCACTGTTTAACACAACTAGAGGAGTCTTGTTATATTTCCAAAACTATTTGTTCAGACAAAAACACTAACTTTTATCTCTTATTCATTGTCAGCGCTTTTCGCATTTTTTAATAAGCAAACAATAATAAGCGAGATGTAAAGAATGATATATAGATTATGTAGCAAAAAAAGAGAAATAGGTTATAAAATATTAAATATTTTCTGATGGATTTAATATATTACGTAATTATCTAATTACATGTATCACATTTATTTATTCAATTCATAGAAAAACGAGTCAATTCTGTTTATTAGCGTCAAGTCGAAAGCTCGGTTTGCGCGGTGGAATTTACTGGTCTATAAAATTTTCCGGAGCGTTTTTTTCTCACTTTCTTAGTCTAATATTGGAAAGAAACGGCGAAAGAAAAGTTCTTGAACGCGCGCTCTTCTTCCGCATGCACGCGGTGTGTGTATGTCTGTGCTTCGGAAGCGCCGCGCCGGTTGTTTCTCTATTTCGCGACACACGACCGCTATTTCTGCCCGGTCAAATCTATGCCAATGGTATTTTTGTTGCGTTTTCGCTCGGACAGCTGACAATCACGCTGTAATTCGAATCACCGGGAACTACTCGGTAGGTGCACCTACTTGTTACCAGCGGCGTGTAAGCCGAATCGAGCTTATCTATAGAGCTTATACTCATGGAGAGACCCTGCCTATATGCTAACCATAGAGAGGGCCGCGCAAGGAGGATCGACAAAGAGAGATATATTCATGATATATTTTGTCTCAACTGTGGCTCCCCCACTCCGTGTTCTCTGTTATTTTCTTCTATAAGAAGTGCCCACAATTGAAACAGAAAAATATATCTCTCTTTGTCGATCCTCCTTGCGCTCGCATGGCCTCTCCATGAATATAAGCTCTATGAGCTTATCTGAATCGCGTTTTGTTCGCTCCCCGTGCAAAACACTTTGCAGAGTTTTTATTTTTTAATGCACATTTTACTGTCAAATGATTTACAAACTATTTTGAAGATATTTTTTTTCTATGATTCGTCTGATTCGTGTCTGTTAAAGGCAAGCGCATAAGAAAGTTAAAACATTGATTGAATATTGTATTACATATAATAATGTTAATTACACTAGAGTGATAAAGGTAGACATTTTATAAAAACTACAGGTTTCTTTCTGCGTGCAAAATAGACACATAAGATTTTTTTACAGAATTTTATTGAAACATACAAAAAAGCTAAGCAAACAGAAGTGACAAAACAGGTGAGTATTTTGGAGAACACCTAATAGTCATCTTGAAACTCAACTCTTAATATATATATATTAGGTTAGGTGTTTTCAGGAGGGTGCAGGAGGGAGCGTAGCACCTCTTTCCACACACTTACAATACAAACATAAATAACACAAAAAAATCTTATTTTAATATTTTTCGGAAAACAATGGTCTATTTATGAAATTTTCTTTGTTAACAAGTTGTTAATAAGCGACAAGAATGGCTTTGTTATTCTTACTCAGGAAAATGATTTTTATAATATATAAAAAATAAATACATACTTCTGTGCAAAAAAGTTACCTGTGTAATATGGTACATGTGCAATAATGTTCATCATATATATGCAATCGGGATCTGCGCAAAAATTTTCTGTACAAACAAGATCTGTACAAATGAGATCTGTGCAACAATCAATCTGGTAAAAAGAAATCTTGGCAATCAGGGCCCTGCCATATTTATTCCGCAACATCCAGCGTAAAGCTGTTATAACCGTTTAAATTTTGCGTTGTTAGTTTGAAACTTAAGAGCCTAAACTCCTTATTAATTATCGATTATTGCTTTCAAGATGACTACTAGATTCTGAGATATTTTCCAGATTATTCGCTTATGATCAGTTACTTTTATTTGTTCACTATTTAAATTTCCCGAAGTGTCTGTTTATTTTACTTTAATGCAATATATATTAACAATATAATGTAATATATTTTATCCATCTTGTAACTATTTTTAATTTGTTAGAACACTTTTTAACTAAAGAATTTTCTCTCTCGCAACGTTAAGTAGAAAAGACCGAGTTACGAGAAAGAACAATATTACAATGTATCTTATAACTATATTGAATTCGCTGAGAAGCACTTGCAACTTAAACAATGAGTTTCTCTTCTGCAACTATCTCAACGTTGCACGAATCACTATTGTTTTTAGCTTGTCATTTGATCGAAGTAAAGAAAAATGTGGCATTAGTAATAAGATACTTTGTATGTAAATTACATTGCATAAGTGATTGTATGCAATAGTATCTCCTGTGTCTGATATTAACGCGAAGCGACGTGCGAGTGACGAAGCTCTCTATGGAAGCATCAACCAAAGGTACTGCAAATCTCGACATCACCTGATGAAGCGTGCTTGTAAAGTAGCGGCAAAGAATCTCAACATCTAGGTTTATAGATCTGGGTGTAATAGATAATATTATACGAGATGTATATGTTCATCACCGAGCATGAACAATCTGATTTATCGAACATGTCAAACGACGATGTGATATCATCGCGTTTACCTGCCACTTTTTCGTGTGTCAGTGTTTTGCCGCCTTGCGTGTCTGTGCTAGGACAGGTCACTTTCTTCAAACTTTAACGAGAAGGATCAACAGGTGCGCACAGAGGAAGATGAGGAGAAGAAGGGAATATGTCTAGTCGCACACTAGCGTGATCCCTTTTTAATCTACATCAGAGTCGAATAACGTTTTTGCCAATATGAATTAGTTTCGATCGCGGGTTTAAAAAGGGAGAAAATTGCGATATCAAAACTCATTCCCAGGGAAACTTGTCGAAACAAAACACGTGTGTGAATTAAATCCACGGTAAACTAATCATTTTTAAATTTTATTATACATAAAAGTATAAGTTTACTTAAATGATGAATATGACAACAGAAGATATTTAAATTGCCACAATTGTATGAAATTATTGTAAGAATTTATAATTTAATTAAGATCGTTCGACACGTTTGTATCATCGCGAATCGATCGAGTGTCCACTTCCCGCGAAAACAGGATTTATGAAGAGAGGTGGAGAAAAACACACATGATCGCGGTAGCATAAGAGATAAGAGGAATCTTATCTTGTTCTGAAAATCCTTGAAGTTTAAGACCCAGTTTTACAATCTTTGGTTAAATATATGAGTTAGATTACCATTACTCAATGGTTAACTGAAGGTTATCTAAAGAACGCGTTCTATACATTATTTTATGATGATGGTAAACTATTGATTTTTCATTATTTTTTGGAAGTTGGTATAACCTGATTGCGGTATTTGATATAGGCTGTGACTGCCAAGATCGAAAATCTATAGTTACGTAACTTATAGATAAGTGAATATCGGAATGTAATCGCAGTTGAATCGCTGTTATTTATTTAGGTTATATTTTAATAAGTGCTGTGAGCTCCAAAGTAGATAGTTGTATAAATAGTGAGCTGTGTAAAGTAAGTAGAGTTATACTTTATAAGTATTAATTAATTCAGTTTTACTTAATAATTTCACTTAATAAATGTGTAGGAATGGCAAAGAAACGCCAAAATAATTTTGTTATAGAAGAGGAAAAGCTTCTCATTTCTTTAGTTCAACATCACAAACATATAATTGAGTCGAAAAAAACAGGAAACACAAGTTGGACCGACAAAAAAGTAGCATGGAAATCAATTGAAAAGCAATTTAATAGCCAAAGTCAGAGAAATGTTTACAGAAGTGCGGAAAATTTAAAAGAAAAATACAATAATCTAAAAAAAAAACAAAAAAGAAATACAGTGAGGATAAAATGAATATTTTGAAGACAGAAGATGGTTCTTATGTTTCCCCTGAGTTAAATGAAGTAGATAAAGCCATCTATGACATAATTGGGCCTCAAATAGATGGGTTAAAAAACAAACCTAACCTAACCTATGATGATGACCAAGATAATGTCTTGAATTGTTCAAGCAGTGGTACTGAAGGTAAGTAATCAAAATACGTTATTTATGTAGTTGTAAATTGCAATGAATATTTGCGTAAAGTGCGAAAAATAGTAAATACTTTTCTCAACAAGTATAAAAATATATTAAAGAATGAGCTTTAAACGATCTCAACTTCTGCGAAAAATAAAGTGGAAAAGTGTTTGTCTTACACACACACACACACACACACAGATAAAATATGTATATTTTTATAATTATTTTCAGAAGTACAAAATAGAAAAAAAGATATTTTGATTATGGATATTGTTTTACCTTCTGTTACATCTCAAAATGAAGAAATCCAAAGTGAGTAACATAATATTTTAGAACTAAATCTTTTTGCAGCATCTCTGCAAAAGAAAAAGTTATCTAACACGTTCGTTGCGGCAACGCAATTGCACGGCCCTGATAACCGATAATACACTAAATTGAAACTAACACAGTCAATGTATCAAGTGTTATATTTTTTTATAGATCTAAACAAGAATATTGAAACAAATGATGAAATGATTATTGAAAGTCTTATAGATGATAATAGTTTGCCTAGAAATTAAGAAATAATCGAGGAAAATTGTAATGAAGATAACACCTGGAGCATTTACACAAAAAAATCTAAAAAGACCAATATCTGAACAATTAAAAGTTAAAAAAAAAGCAACAAGTATGTTTGTTAAATTTTCCACAAATAACTTTACAAATGTCGTAGTTACAATAAAATAATTTTTTGCATTTGAATTTTATAAATGAATAAAATATAAATATTTGATGTTTTTTTAAGGAAAAGTTTTATTTAATAATCCAAGAATAAAAAAACAGTATGTGTTCCACTGTCCCATGAATTGGCTGACGCTAAATTACAGTTTGTCAAAGAACAGCACTGCAAATTTTTAGAAGAACACGATTTAAAAATGCAAATTTTGAAAAAAAATTAGAAATAAAAATTAAAAAATGTAGAATACTTGGCATTTATAATGAAGAAAATGAAAATACATAAACATTTAAAAAAATATGTAATTGCCAAATGAGCTGTGTCGAGTTAAGATGTTATTTAACCCGACAAATTTACCATATTGCGCATTTATTTGACTTAACTTGCATTAGAAATCGGTTTTATAATTGTTTGTTGCCTTTTATTCGATAATTTTGTTTTTACGTTTTTCATAATTATTTCTTTTTGTCAAAGGCGGAAGTTTTTGCTGGTATCATACAATACCACACGAATTTGCTGGGTTAATATTAAAAAAATACAAATTATTTAAAAATAGCTTAGTAGAGTGATACCTAATATTGTGATACCGAAATATTGAAAGTATTATTTTATTATTTTTTTTGTTAGAGTTTATTTCATTATTTTATTTGTTGTTATTTTTGAATACAAATACTTATATACTTACAGAATACGTTTTATTTGTTTATAATATCTCAAAAAAATATTTAAGTTTTTATGTACTTAAAACTACAAATAAATAATAAAACTCATTAAAATAAAATAAAAATTTATTTTATTATCTCTTTAATTTACAATCTGCTGAAATAATTATTAATTAACTCATCACGAATTATACTATTAATATTATTTCTTTGCTGTGGTATTTGCTTATTATTGACATCATTGACAAAGTTTATGGCCGCTTTCTCTTCATCAGTTATTGGCGGAATTATTTCATTTTTGTCACAAACAATATTATGCAATACGCCGGTTGCTACAATAATTGCTACAATAATTGCTTGTGCAGTATCTATAGATGTTCGTATTCCCATTGCCAGTGCAGGGAAACGTCGCTTCCATACACCATACTGTCTTTCAATCACATTTCTTGTTCTTATTTGCGATTCATTGAATAATATATATTTTGCCATGAGTTCTAAGGTTAAGTAATGGTATGATTAGATACTGTCTAACGCCATAACCACTGTCCCCCACTATAAGGCTATCAGGATAGTCTCTTCGTTCAAAGAATCTACATAACATAGAATTTCTGAATATATGAGAGTCATGGACTGATCCTGGCCATCTTGCTACAATACTGCATATTTTTAAACGTGGATCAGCTAATGTTTGTACATTCAACGAAAAAATTGCTTCCTGTTGCAAAATAATTCATCTTGATTACCTCCAGGAGATTGAACCTTAACATAGGTGCAGTCTAAAGCACCTATGCATCTGGGAAACCGTGCAATGTTATAAAAGCTTTGTCTCATTTTCTTCAGAAATTTCTTCATCTGTTGATGGCATATTTATATATTGTGGTTTTAGACTTGCAAGTGCCACACTCACTCGCCTCACCGTAGTACTGGCTGTTGATTTACTTACTCCCAAAAAATCGCCAGTATACCGCAAAAATGATCATTGGCATAAAAATTTAAAGTAAGCAGCAGCTGCTGACTAGCAGAGAGACAGTCATTTCTGTAAATAATGTCATTAGAATGTAATAAAATAATGTCATTAGAATTGGCCTACAAGACGTCACACACAAAATTATTAAATAAAGTTTACAAAATTGCTATATGAATACATATTATTTTATAAGTGCACTTACCGATGTGTAGGATGAAAAATAATGTCTTTAATTTCATTCAATACATTTTCAGTTGTTCTTTTGGACAACCGAAACTTCACAAAAAAATCACGTACTCTTCAAAATAATTCGGTCAATGCCTAATTATTTTTGACCTTCTTATTTCTTCATCACTACTGTAAGCATTGACGTCGTAATTCATAATTTAGGTTATATTGAGGTAAAAGCGTAACGTCTAGTTAACCTATGCATTGGGCATGGGTTAAGTTAACTGTGAATTAACCAAGACACTTGATGATAACCATCAATTGTAAAACATAAATACTGACTTAACCTTTAGTTAAATTATAACTTCTAGATAACCAAAGATTGTAAAACCGAGTCTAAGAGACAAATTGGTGAAACAACAAATTTTTAGTTCCGCCGAATCGAATATTTATTTTAATGATGATAAGAAGAGAAAAAAGGAGAAAAATAGTTAAAGTTTCTACGATTGTCTGGCTAATTTATGTGATATACATGTGATATATATGTGATTTTATATGATATATATGCATAGAACATGCATGAGAACATTCTTGTCGAAGATACAGTCCGTGCTGAGGAAAAATTATGATCAAAGAAAATCGCACTATTATGTAAAATTAACTACCGTTCTCTAAAATTAACCATCGTTCTTTCTCAGATTTTTTCCACACGTTAAAAACTCGAGGCGCTATCGAAGGTTCGCTCGCGTGAAGTTTAACGCAAAGTGGCTTTAAAGTGACGTTGATGTGCATCTTAAGGACAGAAAAATAGGTCGAAAGCTAAGGCAGGGATAACAAAGGGGTGGGATTTGCAGACATCGACAAACACTTTGCCATGTCGGCGAGCCTGATTGGCGTATCGCCAAAACACCCCCTCTGGACTTTCCAGCCATTAGTAATGCGAATTTTTTTCGAGATTTAATACGCTCTCCGCAAACCCTCTCTTTTCTTCTCTTTTCTCTTCAAACTCTTTTTTCTCTGCCTTAAACACCGCAGAATCCGTGAGTTGCTCGATTAAATTGAGAAAAGACTACAAGCTGCAAAAATCGTAGCAGCCCGTTTTCCTCTCGCATTTCCGGGCGTGATTAATCGTACATTTTCACACACATACACACATATTGATTTCTTCGAAGCTGAAATCGCTGACGCATATTATGTGGTGTTCCACGTCCCGATACGGAATTTCCATTTCATGCAAACCTTCGTTGACCATTAGATTGTTTGCAACCCAACGAGTTAAATGGAGTTGGTCGGCAAATATAAATAATTACTGTTGTTCGTTAACATTCTTATGAATAACATCAAAGAGTGGGGATAAAAAATTGCGCGGCTTGCAAAATTATTTCCGGATCAAATTTTACGAGAGCGCGAATGTATAAAGTACAAATCATTCTTCGAAAAACAAATTTATCCGCGACCGAGACTTGCTTCTAGTAATTGTACGGTTTGGAATAACAACTCTGTTTTGCACACGCGTCTTTATTGTTACGCACGCTCCCGTCGACTGACTGGCTTTGCGCCCTCGTAGAGCCTTATTGTAACACTAAGAGGCTGTAGTGCCCTCACCCATACCGCGTTGTAGACATTTTCTACATCTCTCTCTTTTTATATGATTCTCTTTTATGATTCTTATAACACAATATAATGAACATGAGAGTGATTTTATAATCAATGACAATGTAAACTGAAATATACGATATTATAATAAACAATTATGTTTTATAACGATACATTATAACGATCTTCTAATGTTGTGATTTTCAAGCGTTTTAATTGCAGACTGTCCATTGGTTTCACACTTTCTTTAAGTGAACAATATTTTTTCTGTAGACTTTTGTCATTTTTAAAAAATTTGAATATCACTCTTCTTTTTATTTATTACTATGTGTAAGGCTGGATTAAAAGTAGTTGTTAATTTGGTTTCTTTGTTTGTGTTTGTTACGTGTACTTTGTTTTCGCACTTTTCGCGATTATTTATCTATTGCTTTCCGCTTCCAATCACTATATTCCTTTCCTTTCCCTTTTTCCCACATGTGTCTATCTTTTATTTCTTCTTTTACTATCTCAACTGTCCGGTTGGATAGATTTGGGAGTTTTTCACGAAATAGCTTCCGAAAAAGAGTAAAACTTCTTTTTAATATGTCTCGATTTTGTCTTTCGACTTCTCTGTTTTGTTGCGGCTAGTAAGGTATGGTATTATATAAAATATTATTTTCCTTACAGAAAGTCTTGAATTTATTACTACAGAATTGCCTTTCATTGTTTGCTGTTATGGTTTCCGGCAGCTCTAATCGTGAATAAATTTCTCATAAGGTATCTATGGTATTCGTTGAATTTATATTCTTCATGGTTTTTATTTCTTTAAATAATGAATCACAAAAGGCCGATACGAGGAGTAAATACAAGGTGGTAGTGTATGAGAAATAGTTTTTATTAAAAGTTAATTATTTCTCATACACTACCACCTTCTATTTACTGCTCGTATCGGCCTTTTGATTCATTATTTGACACTTTCACGAGCGAATTATTGATTAATCTATTTCTTTATATCTGCTGTAATAATCGATTACTACAAATATAAAGTCATTGTTCGACAATGGTTCTAAAAAGTCTATTGCGATATCAATCCACGTGCGTAGGAAGTTGGCAGCGTTTCGTAGAGTTCGGAGCAGAAATTAATGTGCACTCTCTATAGGTCTTGATCATATTCTCCGCGTCGATATCCATCTTTGACCACCATACTTTAGTACGAAGTCGCTTTTTCGTCGCTACAATTCCTGGATGACCCTCAGGCAGCTGCTAAGACATTTAGCCTTGATTTGGCTGGGATAACGATTTTATCTCCTCGAAGTAGGATAGAGTCATAAAAACATAATTATGATTCACACAGTTTGTAATATTTTACATTTTTTTGCCATTTTCCTTTATCTAATTCTTTTCTTACATTGTGTTTAATTTAGAGTATTTCTTTATGTCTTCTAACAGAATGGCTATGGGTTTTGCGTATTCTATTATTTTTTGGATAGATACAGTGCTGAATGTGTGATCCAAATTCCTATCGCAACATAATCTCGACAGCGGATCTGCGATATTGGTTTTTCCTGGCCAATATATGATTTTATACCAAAATGCCTGCGATCGTAGCACCCACC